TAAGTCTGCCTTAAACTGATACCTTGAATACGCTAGCTGAGGTGGACAATTCAAGTGTGAAGCCTGAATTTACATTGCGGACGGCGTTATTAAAAATAACTTTAGAAAGATATGAGCATTGTGAATTCCCCAATGGGCCATTGAATAGGTAGTAGCTCATCCTATTAGCTTCACGACTGATTGATGGTTTCTATATTTGTGTTGTCACTCATCATAAATTGTTCCCCTCTGGCCTAAGCTGACTGAAAAAAATAAGTCACTGATTTATAGCTGACCTTATGCTTTATAATCATCAAATGTCATCTTCATATCCAAATTTACTCACTTGGCTCTTGATGATGTTATTTTCACAGTGGCCTATCACATATTGCGTTGCTCCTGTAGATGGAGAGGAAAAGAGTAGCCACCCTAGAAGTTGTAACAGTTTTCTCAATAGTTCTTGTTCATCTTTTAGATTTTATCAGACTTTTCCACATTGATTACAACATAGTTTTGTCTGTTATAAAGCGGAGAAAATAGTCGGTTTGAGCTGACTTTCTACTCAGGTGATTACTTAATTTCCCTGGATCTGACCGGCATATCTTTCAACACACAAGCTTATTTTCCATCTCCTCTACAGACTTGAAAATGACATTCTTCAAATAATTCTTGGTTCTTGTTGGGGAAGAATGAATCGTCTATACACAGAATAGGAATGGAAGTGCCTTTGGTGACCTCTGTTGTCTACAGAAACTGCACGGTGGTCTTATTTCAGCTGACTGTTTGATTATTTTGTCCCTGTTCATTATGCTTCTTAGTAAACAAAACGTTTTCTAGCGTTCATGGAAACTTTTCTAGTCCAGAAGCACTAGTGATTCTTGTATATTCATCTGTGTGTTTAAGCAATGCGTTTTTCCACTGGATAAAGCTTCATTCTTATCACTTATGTCTCCATTCTCTCTTCTATATACTTTATGGTGCCAGTCATGCATATCTCAGCTTTAACTGTGCATAGACTTTTCTATAACAAGTGTGCTTGCATCTTCAAATCTAGTAGTTCTGTAGTCAGTCAAGTATTTTTTCGTTTAGTTACAAATAAACCGACTTTTAATACAGTGGAAGTGTACAAGTGACATTTTACTGACAGAATCTTTAACTGCATCTACTACTAACTCGCATTAACTTATTAGTACAAAAGCTTGTACAAGGTAATTATCCCTTTTTTAGCGTAATCATTTCACACCTACTTGATAGCAACAATTTATTTATGTTCTGAAGTTAAAAAAAGGATGGAGAAAAACAAATCGATACAAAATGTTTATGTTCTTGGGATTTCTGTATTCTCAAAGTTGGTGTTATTTAAAGATTAAAATCAAAAGTCTGCGTTCAGATAAAGACGATAATGGTCCTGTCAATATCGCAACAGATTCATTTGATGTCCATGAAAAGATATTGACAACGTGTCCATCTTTCTTTTCCTTTCTAGTCTGATAGGCTTCGAAATTTCGTCTTACCAGTTTGATTTATACGAAGTAGAGACTATGAACGTTTTGATACTGATGTCAGTAGGTTGCCTTTAATCCACTTTTGACCAATGAATTAATGACTGATTTATTCTACAGGACGAAAAGATATCAATACTCCTTCCACTAATTTTGTAGAGTCCTAGCTAATTTGATAGCATTCTACATATTTTTGGTTTACGCCTCCGCTTTTATTGTTAAGACTGTCTCAGATAGCCTTGATTTGCCCTCTTCATGTCACCTTGATGGGTTTGGAAAGAAGACGTTGTCTTCAGTGTTCCAACAACGTGAATTCTTCTTTCCTGCATCAGTGATATATACATATATATGCATATCATAACCATACTGGTCAATACATATGTGAAGATGGTTACCAGGAGATTCATGAAGAAATTTAAATCATTTCACCTTATGCTAAATATTGCGCTGAAGATGTTGTCCAGAAAGGTGAACGACGAAAGCTCCGCAACTAAACCAACCAGCTCAGAGAACACTATTAATTGCAAAACGATACTGTGTTGGAAAACACTTATGCTTTCATCGCTACATTCAGAGAACCATTCAATCTCTGTTATTTCAATATATTAAGTGTGTGAAATTAAATGGTGAACACTTAGGATCTTTATAGTCCGTCCAGCGTGAAAAGTATATAAATAGATAAGTTATATTACTACGAGATTTGAAATATAGCTTCTGAAATTTAGACAGGTGATATTATGCAGTGAAAACAGAGAACAGTGAGAAAAAGGATTACTTATGGAAAGAATTTAAGCCCCATGAATAATTTTAACTCTCTTCTAGAGGTCTTTATCTTCTGAGATGAATAACTGCACTTTACCAAATAAAAGTTAGTGTTATTAATACAGTACGTTGAGCTCTAGCTGCCTTCCTTATGGATAAAAATAATTAGAATGTTTACTGACTAATGTTTGGAATTGTGGCTTTAGGGAAAATATACCGCCATTAGTGACGAACAAATAAACCTTGAGATTTACTTATTCGGGAAGTGTTTGGTGTTCTCCAAGTTTACATATCTGATTCTCTGTAAATTTAGTTTTAAAAATGTCACATAGCATTTTGGAAAAATATGCACAGTGAAAAACCAAATTTCAGTGGACATTGAACAATCTTTAGATTACACTTATTTTCTTGACAACTTCTAATACTCTTGAAGGCAAATGATAGTCAGATGAAATTACAATATTTTTCCATCAATTCTCTCACTGTTAATCCTAACAATGTAGGAGGTTTATTAGTTGTCATTTAGAATCCTTAGAGTACTTGAAATCACTAGTAAGAGGCTCCTGGTGAAACGGCTCAAAATAATTCATAACGGCGTAGACATATTCATCTCTTTCACCTTCTAATCATATTCACTGTGTCCTCATTATAATGTTTCTTCACAGAAACATTATTTATCTTTCTTCTCTATTCCTGTGTGTAATTTCTAAGTGTTTTAATTAGAAGGGTTCTGGGTAGCTTGTGTATTTTTGAAGTTTCTACTACTCTGAGTAGCTCTCCTATACTGCTGACCTACTTTGAAGCTAATTTGAGAAGATTTTAGAAAACGTCATCGTAAAATCATCATCACGGCTATTATTATTATTATTACCATCACAAGTAATTTCAAGAGGCAATTAATCAACTTATAGTCACAAATTTTTTACTTATAATCACATAACGCTATTATTAAGTAATAATAAAAACAACAGTATAAACTCTATCGCATTATTCTAGGTGATGGTAGAAAGATAGTGTTGGGGCATTTGGACTTTGAGTTATGAGGCTTTCCAAAACTTGAGATTATAACTAGGACTGAAACTATGATTTAGCAGTACCACCCACCCTCCACACACACACATACAAACACATACACACAAAATGCGCGACACTTAATAATTCATAAATTTACTACTATTTCATTTTGACAAAATAAATTCAAGTGTCTTGAAAAGTCTCATTGTTTTGCTGTGGGTTTAAGAAGCGAATTTATCAATACTCAAAAGAAAATTATTTCAAGTTTTTATTAGTTTTCTTATAATAATAGTTGTACTTCATTCTCTTTTTAGTCTTGTTCCTGCAATTTTTAATTCTTCCTACACTTTCATCTAACTACCAATAGTTGGATGGAAGCCAAATATATGGTGTGTATTTTATCCAAATGAAGGATATACGATTTAGCATTCAACCAGTATTTACATTAAGGATCTGCCAGTTTAGGTTAAAACAATGGACGTGTACTTCTAAGGTGCAGTTTCCGAATACAAACCGTTGTAATCCTCAGTATCCTGACAGTCAAATGTATAATTCAGTTAAAAGTTTAATTTAACTCTAATCACAGATGCGCATCGGTGGTACATCGGTAGAATGCTCGCCAACCTGCATGTGGTTAGGGGTCCGATCGCCGGCCGACGCACTCCTTTACCTTGCTATGTCAGTAATAAGACTGGTAAAGCGGGGAAGGTTGGGAATGTGGCTAGCAACCCCATCCCGTAAAAAATAAACACTACTGCTACGAAAACTTCAAAGCTCTTGCTTGGAGCCCTTTGTGCCACTGAGAACTTTAAGGAATAAAATTTAAAGAATAATAAAAATGAAGTCACAGATGCAAATGTACAGTCTCACTGAGTTCATATTTGTATTTAAATGAGTCATTTATATTCTAGAGGCAGTTTTCAGGACACAGTTGTTTAGACAAGTGTAAGAGAGAAACATAGAGACTATATTACAGTGTCATCCCATGCAGTAATACTGCAATATGTACTGAAATCTACTACACATATTCGCATCGTGACTTTGAGTAAATAAAACCGTATCGCTGCATAGTTATCAGACATATATATATATATGTAGCATGGGATCGTTTCGATAAATATGAATAAGGAAACGGAGGCTGTCTGAACATAAGCTGAAGAGACCTTCAAGTGACAACATACGCCAGGCCTTCGGCAGAGTCTGAGTGGGAAGTGACAGGTTGAAAGTATCGGATGAGTGGAGGAAATAAAAGCTTGTGGGCCAGCTAAAAGTGTTACCAGAGAAGTGTGTACGATGGAGACGAACCCCTTAAGTGCTGTGTTCCACCCCGGAATACAAGGAATGAATGATAAATAATAATAATAACACCATCGTTTCAATTTGAACAGTGGAACACGAGAAGAAATGCAGAGTTGGGGGGTTCAGACTAGAAGTGACCGTGATATGACAGTGATTTCATGGAAAATGAAAGTTGGTTCACTTAAGGAGTAGTAAACACTAGTCTTAATTCCCAAATGAAGAAATGGCAGCTTGACTGGTATTTAATGCATTCATGTCTACTGATGGAATTATGTTCACATTCTCAGTGGAGAACTACTATGCTAACAGATACCTATTTTGTGAACTATTTTCGTAAACACCACACATTCACTTAACTATGTCAAGTTTTTAGCAGAAATTAAAATTAAAAATAAACAAAGAAATAGTTAACATATCTGAAAATAATATGAATACAATACTCACCTTTCTCATCGTTTTCTCTTTCCATTTTGAACAGATAACGTCTTACAAGTCGTTGCATTATGTCTGAATGTGATGTCTCTTGAATAGTTAAATCCTTGTCCTTCACAACTTTATCCCTTCTCACCTACACAATTGGATTTAAGCAGAATGCAAAAGATAATCAATTATCTATTTAAAACAGTACCTTGTGAAACAAAATTTCTCCCGATTATGTACAAGCTGTTGTTAGATAAAATTCAAGTAGTCGTGTAACTTTCTGCCAGTGTACCGAGTTTGACTATTGGCTATCAGTTAGTGTTGAAATCTTCGTGTGAAGTCGGTTTACTTTGTAGGCTTAGTGACATGATGTGTATTCACCACCACTTTTCATTGAAAAATTATAGCCTTAAATAGTTTAAATACTGCATAAGTTAGTTAACTATTGCGCGTTTCTAGTTATATTCAGTTTAGTTAAAATCAGTTTGAATAGATGCAGAATCAAAATTAAAGTGAATTCACATTCATCAAATCTATATATATATATATATATGCATAAAATGGAATGACCAGAGTGAAGTGATATAAGAATAAAACTTGAGCACTGTGGTAGACTGCGATTCCACCATTGAGTAAATTTACTTGATAAAATCTCACAGTGATACGGTATTATTTACTAATATCAGTGAGTAAATTGAAGTGAAATTGAAAACTTATGTTAGACCGATGTGTCCGAAGATGAATCAACTCTTCGTCTAGATAAAACATTTTGCCTATGCAAAATACACTGTTTAACTTTGTTCACCTGAATAAACAAAACACCCTTTTTATTCCTTTCAAAGTTACTGACATCAAATTAAATCCACAACATGAACTTCTATGTGTGATTTCGTTTCTTTTTGTATCATTTGACCTTGACCACTGCAAAATAAACATGAATGTGTAAGGAAAATTAAAGAAACTGGACAGTGAAAAAAGAGCAGTCACCTTTTGGCAGTTATTTTATCACTTCATCTAAAATAAATATTTTCTCATGTGGTATTTACATTTGTACATGTGTATGTGTGTGTGTGTGTCTACCAGCACCTGTGACCTCAGAAATGATTCCATTTCAGTATCTTGAGGTTTATTAATTTATAAAGTAAATGAACTAGAAATTCACTCTCTTGCTTTTAATAACTTGTCTACCACGATCAGTTTGTAGTCAGAATTGTCCTTAAACAAAATTAAAGTGGTCCAGGTAGTCTCTTTATCACTGATCATCTGAAGTTTATCATGAAGGCACAGAAATCATTTGAAAGAAAAATGTTTTATTGAAATGCATAAGACAGAAATGGGATTACTACTGCTAGGAAGTGTAAAGTTTCCTCAGTTATCTAGTCACTATCAAGATGTACTTTAGTAGGTAGCTGATTTGCTCAGAGGATATCTCTGCTTTGGGAAACAAGACAGAAATACGTCTAAATGCGGGTCTTTTAAAGAACCGTCCTGGTCAGCGGTAGAAAATCTTTCTAGAATCTCTAGTTAAAACGTATATCTGGAAGTTTTGGTGAATTTATCCCATCTGGTAATAAAACACTTGAAAATAAATCAGTTATAACTGAAAATTTTCAGCGATAGTATATTCTATTGAATGATACGAATAGTTGAAAATCATACGCGTACACATCGGCCATAAGTGTTTACTTGTCAAATTGTGATAATGTAAGTACTATGGCTATTTCGCTCCTTTTAGGCCCAGTTCGCCAACTCTGTGCCGGGGTCAACGCAACTCCAAGAATCAAGTCAAACTGGATCAATTGAATTCTGGCTAGGTTTTTGAGCTAACTGGTAATATTAATGGTATTTAGATCATGACTTTCTGGACAGTAAGAAGTACTGGTTTCCAACCAAGCGTACTGCTTAGCAGTATACCACATCTTGTTATAGCAATTCAATTTATTACCAACAAATGGAACAGAAGTGGTTCTAGTGACTCCAGGTCAGTTGTAAAATTCAGTTCAAACGTATTTAACGTTTTAAACCTTCTTATGGAAGAATTCAAAGGTAAATTTTATGAAAAAGAATTTGAAACTGAATGACAACAGGAGAAAATTATGAGGCATGGTAGGAAAGTGAGTAAGTGCTGTTATTCCTTCCTAAGTTATATCACCCCATATTAACTCGTTTATTGTTTGTATCATACAATGAAACATTATTTTATCTACTGAATGATGTTTGGAATACAATTTATTGTAGGAAGTAAAACATGAAACAGAAGCCTTGACAAGTAGTAATTGCCCTAGTGAATTTACCCGGAAGTATATAGGAGATTATAAATATAAAAATAAAACTAATAAGAGTGACATAGTTATCAGTCATATACAGTAAGATAACTACAACAAGAAGGGGACATTTAAAAGATCCACAGTTTCACAATGCGAAGACGAAACCCCATTTAAAAATAAATTATGTTAGTTAAAGGGACTTGAGGAGCCGATTAGCCAAAAAAACTTAATTTTATCTTATACTATGCAGTGACTGTGAGGTCAGACACACAAGTCAGCGTGTTAAGAAGGAGTCAGTTAGACTGGCAGAGCGTAAAAACCTGATGCAATCTTGACTATTAGACCGTTTTAGGGTAAACTATGTTTAAAAAAGCCCTTTTGTAGCACTACGATACAATAGAATGGGACAAAATGATAAGCCTAAATTCGAAAATGGCTGAGTGGAAGGAGAGACTGATAACTGAAGCTTTATTCATCGAATTCACCAAGAATAAATGCAACCGAAATGAGTTCACACCAGTCCCTGATATCTAGAAGATGCTGTGATTCTTACAACAAATAGGAGGACGATAATAATCGATTATGAACAATAACATGATTCATGAACGATGTTTCATTGTCTGATATATCAAATAAACAAATTAATACGGAATAACACAGCACTGCAGTGTTCAAGTTACCCACAAATACCAAGTTATGTCAGCATCCTTTGAGTTACCAGCTCTCATTTCTACCGGTTAATCTACTGAACTCAGATATTAGTCAAGTCTCATTTTATTTCAGACACTCACGTCCTTTAGTTCTGTGGATGGATTGCGAGCTATAACTTTCAGTGTTACAAGATAGATTGTTACCTGCCTACACTAAAAGCGTTCTGCTAAACTATGAGTATCTTCTTACGTGTAATCAATAACTATTTATCAGTTTAATTCGCTAATTCTCATCTTCAAATAGGCAGGCAAAGGTAAGCGTTTGTGTCGTATCCTTCTTGATTTCTTTTAAAATATAGACGAAATTATGTAGGAAAAAGGCTGTAAAACTGGACTTTACAAAAACTGACACGTCATTAATTATATTTCCGCCGCCTAAATACCTACATAAATACACACTTGTGATTCATTCGATCAACTGGGTTGACAGTTTGAAGAAAAAAGCGTAATTTAAGCTAACGATTAGCTGAATTTAAAATTTTTGTTGTCGTCATCAGTAACTAGTACAGTATGTTTGTAGGTGTGTTAACTGCAGTTAACCGGGTTAATGTACTCGCGAAAAGTACCGGTTGCAGTCGAATGTTGATGTATAACTCTTTTTCCCTTGACTGTTAAGTTATGCAATGACACACTGGAATTTATCATTGTGTTTTTGTATGGATCAGTTACTGTTGACGTTCGCTTCGTTTTTACTCTTAAAATATTTTATCTGTTATCATGATTCTATTTCTTTCGTTGAGAAGAGAGTCGCCTACGTTTGCAGTCCACTAATTTAGGTTTTCGATGTGTCTGGCACTCTTCAATCACCCACGTTTAGTTGTCAAATGAATAACATTTCTAGTGTTACATACAAGCCATTATAATCCGATGAAATAAGGTTGAAACAATCAGGTACACAATTTAACCTAACAGGATACATTAAACTAGAAAAAAATCCTCCTGAAGTGATGTTCTACAACAATATGGTTGTGGTTATCACCTTACATTTTAAATGTTCACTATTCTGTCATTAACCACTGTCTGTAATTGCTAGTCTCTCAGTTATCCGCTTATAGGTTTTATAGTTCTTATAGGTTCAACTTATTAAAGGTCAGTAATCGATTTGAGTGGGAATTATAATAATTTAATGACTGTCAACCCTGTATTTAGTGGGGAACTCAAGTAACTCATTTACAGTGATGTGTTCAGTCAACAAGAATACGATTGTTTTCAGATGCTGGTTTGCATGGATTTGACTGATTTCAAGGCAGATCTTATCATGAACAAACACTATTTAGAACCAATGAACACTAGAGATGCTACATAGCTGTTTTCCGCTGTCCTAGGACTCTTCAACAGTATCCATCCACGAGCCGACCAGGGTTCGTACCCAAGATATTCCGTTAGGAAGGTGAGCCGCTGGAAGGTATCCAGTGTTCAATGCAAATTAATCCTTGTTGCATTGGTGAATAACTATGGGCTGGACTTTCAGATGTCCTAATGAGAAGTCATGAAGTGTGGGATCGACCAAGTCGGTTCTACAGATAGGTACTCACCGATGACATTTAACGGTGATGGCATGCTTGTCCACTAGCATTCATGAGTAAGCTGAAGGAAGCTTATCCTTCACTGAGATTCAAACCATCACCACCACGGCCATTCATGCCGTGGCCATTGACTTTATAAATTAATATCTTTCATTTGATCTCCAGCGTCTTAAATAAATAGTGGCTTCTCATGATGTGTTTACGTGTAATTTTAATCAGCAAATCATTACTGGCAGTTATCTTTTCGCAGTTCACGTCTATCCGAACAAGATGAGCTATACACTGTTGGCAGTTTCTCCTGGTTATATCTTTCAAAGTCTGACTTTTTTCCGATGCTAAATTACTGCCGTTATCAATTTCACTGATGAACACTTATCTCCCACACTTTTATTTCACTGTGGTTATGTATTTTTACAATTCATTTTGCAAACATCTTCATATCCCCTTTCCTGTCGTGTCGTGTTTCAAATCAACTATTGTTATTGATGAAATGACGAAACTAATCCACAGCTGTTTGACCTTTAAGTCTGATATGAGCAATTCTCTCTGTCTCACTTTGGCTTGCTTTTCCCTCGTCACTCGCCTACTCACCCATCTATGTAGACATACTAACTTCCATTCTATTTATCTACTGGAAAGAAAGTC